GTTTTCATAGGTCTGTCTAGTATTTCTTCAACTATGATGACCATTTCTTCAAAATTCATATCCTCACAATCCTTCTTATACCTGCTCTTCCCTGCATGTTCAAGGTTTCTAGGGCACTGTTTTAGGATTTTTCACAGATGAGGAATGAACTACACTCTGGTTGGTAAGCTCTCAATCTTTTCCTTTGTGTATTGAACCAAGTGTGTACTTTGGGGTTGTCTAGGGAGAAGTAGTCTTTCTCAAATTCCCTATGCATCTTTCATTTCCAGTTATGGGTACCAAATTTCTTCCTAATGGTATGTTTCCCCAGGCCCAAGATTTCTTCAAATGGGCATCTCTCATGCATAAATACCAGTTCTTTGCTGTGCCAGTGAATAGTGCAGTCAATCTACTCACTATCAGGTGATCTACTAGGCAGTAGTCTTCAAAAAAGACATCAATATGCTTCAACCATAGTTCATGATTGTATGGAAGTTCTCCTGAGAAAGTCTCCCACTCATTTGTCTTAGGTATAGCTCTCCATAGTTCTTTTCTCATCTCAGGGTCAACGTCATGGTGTCTAATGAAAGGGAATTTGTCATGAGTAGAATCTGGCCCAGGAGTCAGAGATGTGGGACAGAAGAACTGTTGTCTTGGTTCTTGTAGAATGTTGGGGAGTGTGGAATCCAACTGATGACTGGGATCACTTGGTTTAACATTCAACAGAGGGTTATTAAACTTCAAAGAAGGATTTCTTAGGGTCCCCTATGAAGTTGGGAAAGGATAATTTGTAGTCTGGTTCAAGTCTTGACTAACTCCCTTGTGTAGGAGAATGTCCACTTTATTACTTATTGAACTCATAGTAGAGCAAGTGTCACCTAATCTCCTCTTTACCTGTTCAAATCTATTGTTTTGATTTACATTCAAGTGATTGATATGTTCTGAAATTCTAGAGTGCCGCAAAACTTATCTAGTCTCCCTATATCATTAGCTAGAGCTTCAGCATTGGCCTGATGTTGAGAGTCATTGACATGCAAGGCATCTTGTAATGAATCTATCTTCTCTAACAATTGACTTAGTAACTGTGTGTGGTCATTCTCTCTTGCGTAAAACCTCTTGACATGAGCAGCCGCCGCTTTTCTCTTAAGGGTACCATCTAACTCCTCCAACTGATAAATCCTGCTCGGAAACTTGCTGACCATTTCCCGCCCATACACAGTGCGCGCACCCCTTGTCCCAGTACCGCACTTTCTTGGCCCGCGACTCCCACCACTGCGTCAAGCCCAAACCATCTGCCCCACTACCACCATCAGAACCGCCATCTGACTCCACTGTCTTGTCAAAAGAGGAATTTGATGTATAACTGCTGCCCAAGGATGTCCGCAACTTCTGAACCCATGCCACTGTCTTCCACGGAACCACTATGATATGCTGTTGACCAGCTCTTCCAGCCCATGAACACCCCCGCACCAATTGTACCACCCACAACCTCCAGACTTGTTGCCGCAACCAACTCCCAATTTCCATTTCCGTCGTTTCCACCATTTTCGCCCTCTGCACTTCTGTTGTGCCAAAAATATCCTGCCTTCCCCACTATGCCAATTCTCCTTCTCCCTCTCCCCGCCACACCTTTGACAGAAATCCACCAATGCCTGAAACGCAAACTGCCAATTTACGCCTAAAGCCTCCGCCCCAATATTCCCGCATCCTAGCCAATCTGCCACCACTTTTCCCAACCACCCCTTCATCCTTCTACTTAGTCCCCACACCATCAATCAAACAACTTGTGAACTGGTACATGGATGGATGTGATTCTTGCCAAACAAACTAAAGTGCACAGAAGCCGCTTGGACTACTTGAACTTCTCCCAATACCTGCTGGACCTTGGACCAACATCAGCTACATTTTAATCACTGAGCTGCCCCCATCAGTTGGATTTGATAGTATCTTGGGGGTGGTTCCTGACAAAGATGGCCCACTTCATACCTTGCAACAAAACGCTCAACACCAAGGGACTTGCCCGTTTTGCCAACAAAGCCATCGAGAAATATTTGTGCCACTTCATAAGCTACCACCAAGACAACTGGGTCCAACTTCTGCCAACTGCTGATTTCTCCCACAATAACCATGTGACCACGTCTCCACCAGCATCTCACCATTCAAAGAAAATTACGGATTCAACTTGTCCTACGGCTGTGTACCCTCTCCTGAACAATGTTTGTCAGAAGTTGTAGAACACCTCAAGAAGCTCAGTGAATTACAAGAGTTATTGAAGGAGTGTCTGCAAAGATCACAAGATTCAATGAAGCATCAGTTTGATAAGCACATCAGAATGAACTGGGATTGGAAGATTGGGGACAAGGTTTGGCTCAACAGTTGCAACATATCTACGACCAGACCATGCCCCAAGCTGGACGATGGCTAGGACCTTTCCCAATCTCCAAATTCATTTCTTCCTCTGCATATGAACTGACCCTACCTGCTTCTTTTCGGGGCGTCTACCCAGTGTTCCACGTGTCACTCCTTTGGAATTTCCATGTGGACCTCATCTATGGCTCCCAACCACACCCACCAGACCCCATCATCATTGAGGACAACATTGAATGGGAGGTTGAAGAGATTAGGTGGGGAAAACAAAGGCAGTACTTAGTAAGCTGGAAAGGATTTGGCTTTCAAGAAAAATCCTGGGAACCGGTTGAAACCCTGAAGAACTGCAAGGCATTTGTCAGTCAATTCAACACTTGGTTGCCCAACAAAACCAGAAAGCATTGATGACATTGACGGAAACAATAGTAGCGAGAGGGCAAGCTTTTTTACCAACAGTATTAGCGAGAGGGCAACCTTTTTTCCCAACAGCCAGGGTTTTCAATGCTGCCCGGGGAAGATGCAGAGTCCACCGGGGACTTGGGAATAAAGGAGGGATAATGTTATGATCTTGTGATCCCCTCTGGGACTTGCCAGGGGTTTCCGCAACTGGGGGATTATCTACAGTTGTACATCCCCCAGTTAGCAATCTATTATATCAATCACAACAAGTCCACAGATTCCATTATTTTAAGATGGTAGTTTTAGAGTTATCAAGGTATCAGAATAAATAGGAATTTGGGGGTAGCCCCAGGATGCAATCCAAGGTAAATCAAAATGATAATTCTATTTCTGGAAAAAACATTGAGGATGTCAGCCTTCATGTGGGCCTGTGTCTCTAGAGTGACAACAAGACACAAGAAATGGGTGTTTATTGAGTTTATTTCAAAAGAAAAGAACTACAATAAACAGGCTAGAAAAGAAAGAAATAATTTTATTTCTTTTTTGTAATGTTTCTTTTGTATGGCTCTAAACAGTCTAAGAGACTGGAGCAGCTCAAACAGTCAAAAAAGACTGGAGCAAACATGTGATCACTGGCCTCTAGTGGATAGTTCAACAGTAGGTAGCCTGGTAAGATATGTATTACCAGGTCCAAGTTTTTAGGCTTATTGCCAAGGCTGTTTAACTGGAAACCTATGTGGTTTGTTTTATTGAATAAAAAACCACGCAAAAAACAGAGAGAAGCAGAGTTAGAGAGAAATGGAGAGAAACAGGTGAGTAGAGAGGGTTGATTCAGAAATCAATCCTTGAGAAAAGAAACAATGAGAAGACTAAGAATATCAGGAAAAAAGACTTACTGATAAGAGACAATGACACTGAGTAGTGGGGAAGTGGCTTATCTGTAAAGTTTCTTTTGGGTCCTAAGGTGATCTTGGTGGTTCTGGTTGGTTCTGTGCTGAGGTTTAGAATTTTCACTGGGCTCTACTTTTCCACCGTGGGATGAGAGTCAAATTGAATATATTCAATTTTGAACTTTGAGAATCATTCTATTTTCAACCTTTATTATACCAAGCGCACAACACAACTATATTACACTTCATGAATTTTATATGAGTAGAAAAATGAGGAGAATCTGATGAAGGATTGTATTCAATCATATGAAATGTATTGAATAGTAAAAACTCTCGTTCAAGAGAAAATCAAATAAGAGAAATAAATTTATTTATTTACATTTGAAGTCTTTTGGACAGGCTTTCTGTCTCTAAGGCTGAAACCTTGAGTAGGTTCAAGCTGCTAACCCAGAGTGTGAGGTCCCAAAGCGGGAAGGTTGATCATGTGAGAAATCTAATGCTGTTGTTCTTGATAGTGATGTGTTGATGTAACCAAAAGATGAAGAGGAATGATTTATGGAAAAATGTTGTCTCTTCTTGAATTTCTGGGGAACATAGAAACAAGGAGGATACAAGCTATATAGAGATGTACAACTGAATAAATCTATATAAGAATAAGAGACACATGTTTTTAAAGAGATATATGTGAAAATTAACCCAATAGAAGTATTACTAATTCAATAACAGATCCTGACATAACACTTGTCTGATCACATGACACATTTACTGATCCTTGCAGTGCACTATGGCATTCTTCACTTATGTGCCCTGACTGATCCTGGAGCATCCCATTGACAGCACAGAGCATCCTATGAGCACTTCTGAGTGCCCATTGAAGATATTTAGATCCTTTGATCTTCAGGCTTTTGTTCCCCACTCTTCACACCATCAACAAAAGTCCTCAGTAGTACTTTATTACATGGTTGTTATTGCTAACACTCCCCTGGATTGTTCAACAACAACTCATCACAGCTTTGCTGAGTGTTATTTCCACTGGATATCAACTTCTACACTATCTACACTATCCCTGTCTGCCCTGAATACTCCTTTAGTGACTTCCACAAGTCTTGAGGTGCGAATGGAACCCAGATGACAATACTTGTTAAAGCTCGCCTGTGTGACTAACCAAAGTAAGTGTAATCACTTACTCTACCACCATTCCCTGACTGTCTCAGCCTGGGAAATCCATGCCCAATTACTGGATTTCCCTCCTCATTAAACATTGAAAAGAGCTTCACAGATTAATTAGTTGAGCTAATCGTCCATTACCCTCAACATTAATGGGAAAATTCACGATGCATTTTTCAGACATTTAGCAAGAAAGATTAACTTGGCAGGATTTGAACCAACAATCTTAGCTTCAAGCTAAGACAATTTATTAGAAGTTCTGCCTTTAACAAGTAGGCTACCAAGTCTGTGCCTGATGTGCTGATTTTTTAAAGTATGGCTTGATCTCATTTGGATACATAAGCTCATTAAGTTTCACACAGGCCAATATACTTATTTTTGAGACACTGTGGATTACAAGATTTCAACAACAATTAACACAAAAACTCTCCTCATACTTTCCAACCAAACCACTACATCAAGTGCCCTTAAACCACTAGGTTAGTAGCATAGAGGCTGACAGCTATTTGTAGGTTTTCATGGGTTATGCAACTTTGCGTTTTTTTTTTTCTTTCTTTCTTATCTTATATTCTCACATCTTATGCGCCGCATTCATCATTATTAAATAGTCTTGTACCGCGGCTAGCCAAACTTTTTCCATTGATCTTTTGGGAAACATTTGGCTTGTCGCAGAAAATTATTTCATCAAATATTTTCCTTTATAGGTCTGTTTCTTCATTTTCTCATTTTCTTAGTTTCTATCTTGTTTCTTTCCTTTACTCCTTTTGTCTTATCATGAAATAAACTCATAAATCTGATAGGGATTCAGCACTGAACCATGAACTTGCTTTGCTACCCAGGAAGCTCCCATTGGCAGACATCATCACTGACCCACAATGTTCCCTGGTCTATTTGCATTTATGTAACAGTCAACCAAGGGCTTACTACAATTTAAATCAAAATCTAGATTCCTTAAGTGATTGCTAGGGGTGACCTGGCTGTTACATTAAACCATGGTACATTAGATCAAGTTTTCCTGCCAAGAAAAAGCAAAGCTCTATCCATGCAGTACTGCAACGTATGACATAGATACCAAGTTTCACTCGTGGGCCACCAAGTTGATCAAGGCCCTTGAAGGACTCAAGAAATCTTCTTTGAAGGATATAAGAAAACCCTACTGATGGATGCAGATGAATAATTATGTGCTCTGTTGTGCAGGACACAGGTGGTACTTTTTATGCTGTTTCTTACCACAGCCAAGAAATTGAAGACATGGATCCTGATCATCTTACTTTCTCGTCCAGTAGGGCCCCCTCTGTTATCAATTTCTTAGGGATCGTTCAGGTCACATACATAGAGCACTCAGAGAATGGGCATAATCAATCTACAAGGAAGACAAAGAATATTCGGGAAATCCTTGATATTGCCGAAGAAAGAAAGGTATACATTACATATAATGGCACAGCGGGACAAGTAATATGACGACCGCATGGATAGGGGGTTAAGAAGCCATATAGTCCACAAATAGCAGTGCAAAGCTGGAGCCCAACAAGAAGACCAAAAGCCACATGCGACTTTCTTTGTTGGATTCACTGGCACTTAAGAGTTGTTGATTACCCTGTTTGATTTTGCCGGTGGAGATGATTGAATCGTCCCAGAGCTGATCGATCTTTTCGTTCTGCTGGGTGAGATGGTAGACCAATTCGGTCTGTAAATTTGAGATCTCCAGTAGGGATGATTCCGTCTGTTTAATCGACTTCAATGTGTTTTCCGTGTCCTTCAAGACTGCCGATGATTCTTTTTCAAACTGTTGGATCTGTGAACTCGTTAGTATGTTCTCGATCGCCGGTTCGTCCATCGATTCTGGGTCAAGGGGCTGATCGGATTTTGGCTGATAGATGGTCGGTACTGCGCCCTTTTCAGTTGACTGACCTGAGTGGGATGCCATCGATGAGCCTATCAAAGATAGTGATGAGAAAAAACATGTTAGGAACCCATGATAATGCATACCAGACATTTTTTCTTTTCCATACCTGGTGCATTCATCAATCCAGCTAAGCCGCTTTTCATCACTTTCTCCATTTTCTTGTTGGCGCGAGTTTCTTGCTGATCTTTGATCATTTTTCCAAGATCAATCAACCGTTGGTTTAAAAGCCACAAGATAGAGGCTCGATGACACTCGAATTGTTCTTTTACTATGGATTGTGATTTGAGAGAAATCCCCAAAAGCCGACTCAAAGAATTGGACTGTTTTATATCTTGCTGTGCTTTGCGAGCTAGTAAGAGAGAACATCATTCAGGTGGCGCAATCATAATGAAAAAGGAGGCTGCTTTTGATTTGAGGCTTGCTTACATTTTTCGGCAGCTTCGAGTGCTCTGACATCTTGGACAGATTTCTTCAAACCAACGGCAACCAGAGTATCGATCTGATCTTTTTCCCTCTCACTAAACCATCTGACGTTAGAGAAGGCGTACAGCCCTTGGGCCAGATCCACTGTCCGTTCATGGGAGCTGGTTGATGAATATTGCCCGCTTGTTCCCGAAGGACTCGGGTCCAGATAGGCTCGTCTGATACTATTTAGCAAGTTGATCAACTCGAGGATGTGGTGAGCCTGGTTGATGGTGATACCGAGATATACAGGTCAGTGTCAAGGTGAGCTTGCTACTTCAGAATGTGGAAAACAGGATAGTTTACTCACAACCAGCTGGGCTTCTTTGGTCCAAACATCGGGGGTGCGGTTGAGGGGACGAGGAGTTCGTTTAGGAGTGGAATTCGCTTTCTTTCTTGAGCGTATGATTGTCTTGAGTTCCTCTGTCCTACTGTGTGAGACCATTCCGTTCGCAGGCGGAAGTGTTGAAGCGAAAATGTTCAAAATGACAAGAATAATAATGAATAATTCGACTGCGGCGGCCGGGCGAGCACACCGGTGCGGCCACTCCATTTCCAGATACGGTTAAACCAGCAGACATGAAACTGGAAGTAGTCGTCTCCTCGCTTTTCCGTAAAAATCGACTGTCTCTGGCAATATTTCTTATTCTACTGGGACCAACGCCCAAGTCCATAGCAAATTCGAGCATCCGGGCCAGAGAAGATCTCTATGATGCTTCGAGTCAAGCAATGCAATCAGATGTTCTCCCTGGCTGTGAGAATGTCTTGCACAAAAGCATTCAACGAGATCGGTTGGGACGAGAGCACATGCCCCAACAGCCAGGCTAATGGCAACACAGAACATGATCAGCAGCGTAATCAGCCTCACGAACAGGAGCGACTCCACACATTTTCTGCATTCGCAATTCCTGAAGCTGGTTCAATTCATCGTCCAGGCAAGAGACTCAAGACAATCCCAGAGAGTGGTTCGGGGACCTTGATTAATATTGAATCCAACTCCGCACCAAGAAATATGCCCCCCCCCCCAGCATTAACATGATGTACCTCTCGTGGGCCTCTGGTCCTCCGGATGGTGAGCAAAACGATGAGGAATCAATACTTAGCAACATATTGTTCAACAGTGACAAACCATCACCAATCAAAACAGGCACACCTGATCAGCTACCAAATACATATCAAAAGGGGCCACTTTTGGCACCAAAAGAATCACCCCACACCTCACTTTTGCCCTTGCCATCATAGCCATGTAGGGGAGCTTCTCAATTCTTTTGGTTTACCACTGACATTCTTCAGTGAAGCTCCAACAAAGAACACCATTTCAACTTTGCCATCTACCTAAAATCCAACTTATAGCATTGGATCAAAAGGAAATTTTCTAGACAATAAATCAGCCTTATTGCCAAGATGAAGCCTAAGGACTTGCTATCAAGGTTGTCATGCAAGATCCAGGTAAGCAACAGCCATAAAACCCTTAAAGCCATGTTGTATACCCAGTTCATGCCTAACACATAAAACCCTATCACTCTGTCCCTGCAGACAATGAAACGGGCCCTGAGATGAATCAGCCAGAACTAGCTCAATATGCCCCTGTAATCCATGTGCCACAGGCCTGAATCATAACAACTCAGGAAGATAGGAGACATGTGAGTCTTTCCATGTGCCTCTCTCCTCATACCTTAAATAGGGTTATCCATAGCTGACTGAGCTTCTGGTCTTGTCACAAATCTACCTCATAGCCAAAGCAACATTCACCACTTGCTGCATAACGGAATCTTATCTTGTTTTTGTCTATCAAGTCCTGACCCTTGACTATATCCTTTTTCTGTATTCTTCTTTGACTAAAAGTCAACCCTTTCTCATTACACAAAACACCTCACTGTTACCTCTTCACTTTTATCTCTACCAAAGACAACTGTCTCACCTAAGTCGCACCTGCCTTTAGGTACTTTGTCTTGCTCCATTTCCTTCTATTGTCTCACAACCATGTTCTGATTAAAGCAACAAACCTTTAGTTCCTCCAATTCTTGCAATCTTTCCTTCAAGACGGAATATAACACCCTCAAAAGCATGGTCAACTCTGTCCATTACACATGCCAAGAAAAACTCCCTCAACTGCCTGAAGTTGAAGTACAGCATGCTCCAGCCAAGGCCATCCAAACTCCACCTGTTTGTATTTGTAGATGTTTTGGCACAGTGACTGTGCATCAAATGGGTTGCACCTTCAATCTGGGTGGGTTGCATGTCAAAGACCCCCACAAAAAAATGTCCAAGCTTTTTGAGAAACAAAATAAATAAATAATTTCATTAATCAATTTTGTTCTATATGAGTTTTAGACACTTTCTTCCCAGAAAAAAGGAGGACATCTTATTTTTGAGTGTTGAAGATCATCCAGAAACCTAGCTTTTCCACCAACTTCATTCACCAAAGCTGGTTAAAATGGCAATACTCACTTTGGCCAGGAAAGATCACCGGATATGAGGTATCTGCTTTTGCCGGCGTTTTACTAAACTTGAGAAGGAAGTGATTTCTTCTGAGGAGTGACCTCATTGGCACAGTGAGGTGGGTTCGATGCAGCAGTGAGCTGAGAACGGTGACAGCTGATTCTGGGCTGGATGTCACAAGCTGGACTCGCCAGGCTGGATGGGGGAGTTCTTGTGCTGTTGACCCTCATGCACCCCGAAAGCAGAGGCCGAATGTTCATCTCGACCAGACCACCCATCTTCTTGAACGAGCTGCTCGTCCGGCAAGCCCGAACATGAATCCCGGCTGTCATCCGAAGCTACGTCCATGGCCGCATTCCCCAACCATCATCCCGATCCAAAGCTCCAGCCGACCTCCTCGTCTCCAGCGCCCTTGCTTCTCCTTCTCCTCCTGCACTTGCTGTCGCCTCGATAACCATTATAGGACTCTTGGGCTCA